AGCTCAGGGGACTGAATACCATGAGGATAACTTGACCGACTATTGAAAACTGAGGCAAAGAAGGCATTCAGTACCTCAGCCTTGGTAGCAGTGTTCCCCCTCGCATCCAGTAAAGGATAATATTGTTGTTAATATATTTATAAAAAACACTTCTTATTATCCCTTGCAGCAGTGGCCAGGTTGAGTTCCAGCTGAGCTTTTGCCTCTCTAGTTTTTTCTACATGACCTAACTAAATCCCTATACTCTTCTTGAGTAGCCTGCCCCTTCTTCCAAAGGTTGTAGACTCTCCTCGTCCTCCTAAGTTCTAGCAAAAGCTCTCTGTTCAGCCACACCAGTCGTTTTCCCTGCCAGCCTGTCTTATGACACATGGGAACAGCCTGCTCCTGTGCTCCTAAGAGAATCTTCTTGAAAAAGGTCCAGCCTTCCTGGGCCCCTTTGCCCTCTAGGACTGTGTGCCAAGGGACTTCCTCAACCGGTTCGAAACAGGTCACTGTGCAGGTTGGATCCTGAATAAATCCAGGCAACCAGCCTTTGAACACCCTCAAGGACAAAGCTTCACATAAAATTACTGGATTTTCACAGAGACATACACAAACTCCAGCATGCCATGTAAGCTCACTGTGAATGCTGAGGCAAACAACTGCACAGGAAGAAAAGGCACAAAAAAAAAGCAAGTGAAATTTAAAAGTCTCAGGATGGATGAAAGTTTCTGCTGGGTTTTTCAATCGAAAAGTGCACTTTCATTTTAACTATCTTAAAAGAACAGATTTCAGGAGAATATTAGTGAGAGAGTTGTGCCTAAATTAGAAGAGGATATGCATGTTGTGATCAGTACACAGCTCTCCAGTTTCAAAGCAGCTCTGAATAATTGAACACTTCAATCGGAATGGTAACTGACAGCTTGCTACAGCGATACAACCCAGACAGGAACAGCCTTTCTTCTGCTCAGGATTAATTTTGGGCCCCTGTTATCACCAAACATTATTTCTCTGCTAGTCCTAGAGTTGTCCACTCTACACTCTCTGTATAGACCAACAGGGCTTGTTCCATCAGCAGCAGGAAAAAAAGATCTGATGCCTTCCAGCTCACTGTAATTTCCAAGAGAACCGGAGAATCTGAAACCTCAGCCTCAGTCACCATTTTAGACACTTCAAATATTAAAGACTTCATTTAGGAGCCATCAGGTGATGGAGCCTTTGGCTGTAGACAAATATTAAAACACAACTAAATAAGCAACAGTATTCCATTCATTTTCACTATTTCACTGTAATGAACTTTCTAAATAACAGGAAATTACTTCAGTGTCTCATTCCAACCTCCCTGTTCTTTTTGACCTGCTGCAATAAAAAGAAGTACAGAGTCCAAATACTGGCAAAATATTTAGAATTGCTATTTGGCTTCCATTTGTCCAGGGCTGTTGTCTAAAACAGTGTCTTTCTTTGTTCCTTTAGGTCTGTGCTCCACTCCCTCTGATGGGAAGCCTGATCCAAGGTCTCACAAATCTGGGAAACACCTATGACACATCAGAAACTGGGTCCCTTTGGTCTCAAATCTGTGGGTGGAAAGACAGAGTGTGAGCTGAGGGGCAGTTACTCCCTGTCTCAGAATGGAAATAGCCCTTGAGCAACAGGAAGAGCACGCACTGAAGAGTTACTGGTACGTGAGACAGCTCTCCTTTAGAGACTCCTTTTCCTGAATTTCCTGACACGGTGTCTTGCATTATTCTGGATATTTTCATCAGACACCAAATAACCATCTGCCTGCAGAGGAGATGCTGATTCTTCCCCACACTGCATCTTTGCCTTCTGCTGTGTTGTCTGTTCATAAAAAAATATTCTTGCACCTGCCAGTCTCCAAAGAAATAAGATCCTATGGTTTTAAATTCCCACTCTGTGTTTTGAAGTAAGTAGTCACCCGTTCACCTGGGGAGCTCCTTTCTCTTTGCTGCTCACCAAAAAAGGATGGAGAAGGTACAGTAAAAAGAAGATTCATGGATTTATTCACAGCCAGTGCAGGGCTGGGCGGTCAGTCCCCACAAGTCTCATATTCTTAGCTCCTCTTGCTGCTTAGTTAACTTCTCATTTGCTCTATCCCCCAGGAATGACATCAGACAGGAGAATTTTTAGCAGCTGCTGAAATTAAATATCCTAGCAGAAATGAACTGACAAAGAGAGTTTGGCTTGTGGAGTACTGGCTGCTCAGCATCCTGAGAGGGCAGCTAAGCAAAACTTCAGCAAGACTCCAGGGACTGACAACATCATTTATTCCGCTCAGGATAAATCCAAGGTGCAGTTAAACTACCTTGGAGTAAAATAGTTTAAAATAATAAGTGAAAAGTCACTGCAGCTTTCAAGTCCAAAATGAGAACTACATGGACAATGCCATTTTCCTGGGGACTGAGGGCAAAGGAAAGAAGCTTGCAACTGGTTGGTGCAACATGTGCCATGAGCAGGAGCAGAGAGAGTAAAGCTCAGCCCTGTTTCCCAACGAGAATAACCCACAGGGAGGGGTTCACCTCCAGGAACCAACCCCAGGCTGCGAGCAGAGGGGATAGTTCTGCTGCGTTTGGATGGAATAGGTGAAAGGTGCCTGTCTGTAAATTGGTAGGCTTGCATAAAAAAAAAAATATTCATTTATCCTTTCAACAGACAAATGCCCCTGATGTTAATTAAGTGCTTGTCTTAAAAGGTTAAAACCACTGTCTAAGCAGGAGGATACATAAAGTGATTCAAGCTTTATTTTTGGTGAAATCTATGATATTTTTCCTCTAATTGATAAAAATAAACCATTTCAATTTTACTTTGTTGATAACATTGAAGATGATCTTCTTTCTGCTCCTAGTGTTTAAGTTCTGAGCATGAAGGGACACAATTTCAGCTAGACGCCCAAGGACTTAACCATGTAATTCCCATTACAGTTAATTAAATCAAATTATAATAACTAGAATTAAAACCCAGGGATTTATCCTATAAAGTAATTTAAAGGGACTGATGGATGGAAGGCACTGTACCATTTCAATCAAATTACTGCCAGCTCACTTTGAGTGCAGGTTATATAACCAGAAGTGTGATTGCAAGCAGGTCCAGAATAAATCCTGCTCAATATTAAACCCGTGCAAAGCATCAAAGGAACAAGTCTCCTCCCAAACCAAAACATACTGAAAAATACTCTGTGGAATAATACATATTCTCCCAGGTCTTAACATGCTTACCACGCAGCTGAAGTTTGGGATAGTTGCGTATTTGTACGAGTAGGGGTAGAGCAGCATCTGGGCGTACGCGTGGAAGGACAAATAGGCTTTTATTTGTTTCCTGTGTTTGCGGAGAAAATGGGCGACAGCCTTTACTTCAGGCTCAGACTCAGGGAAGGGACCACAGTAGGTGTCATCACATGGGTGATACGAAGCACCCTCATCTAGAGATTGAAAGAGAAAGCTGATGTGAACGATCACAGAAAATTTCCAAGGGTCAGCTTCTGGCTCAGCCTGTGTGAGCCTGAGCCAGGGGGACCTCAGTACAGCAATCAGTCCAGCCTCAGAGACACACCGAGTTGCCAACTGGCCAGCTCTGCACAGCTCTCCCCAGAAGACCCATTTTTAACCCAAGGGAAGAAGGAGAGCCTGACCTCACTGTGTTTCCTTCCCTGGCCTTCCATGTGAGTGGCACGTGTTGTGACAGCATTCCAGTACTAAAGCTATAGCAGGGTCTCGGTCGGTCTGTGTGAAATCAGAGAGCTTACCTCTTCCACTCGTCACTGCCAAGACAAATCTAGCCTTCGAGAGGATTTTAATGTACTGGCCACTGCAGTGGTGGCTACAGTGGTAGGTAGGTAGGTAGGGTAACCCCAACAGGCTTTATCTTACAGACTGGTTCAAAACACAAGAATAGTTTTTGACTACTGCCTGGTTTTACTCTTGCGAACCTTACAGGAATCAAACAGCAAGCTGCTTACAAGGAGCAGCTGAAGGCACTGGCACTGTTCAGCCCAGAGAAAAGGAGGCTCAGGGGAGACCTTCTGGCTCTCAACAACTCCCTGCAAGGAGGTTGGAGCCAGATGGGGGTCCAGCTCTTCTTCCAAGGGATAAGTGACAGGACAAGAGGAAACAGCCTCAAGTTGAACCAGGGGAGGTTTAGTTTGGAGCTGGATAACCATTTCTTTCCTGTCAGGGTTGTGAAGGGCTCTCCCAGGCTGCCCAGGACAGTGGTGGAGTCCCCATCCCTGGAGAGGTTTCCAAGCCATAGAGATGTGGTGCTGAGGGACATGGTTTAGTGGTGACTGGGCAAGGCTGGGTTAATACTTGGACTGGGTGATTTTAAAGGTGTCTTCCAAACAAACCAGGTCTGTGATTCCATGATTTCTCAGTTAGCCACAACAGAAATAATCTCAATTTGCACAGGGCTTAATTCTCCTTCCAGTTTGGGGCAGGGGTTTGGTTGTGAGCATACCACTCAGCACATCATCCTGCTCAGGTGGCAGCAAGCTGCAGAGGCACAGCCTGCCTGGAACGTCCCACAAGGTACTGAAAGGTGAAACTCAGGAAAGGAGATGTGGCAGTGGCTCCTTTAGCATTCAGCACTTCTGGATCTAAGCCACCATTTCACCTGCAGCTTAGGGCCGGGGCCTAAAAGAACAAAATTTATGCAAATCCACTCCGTTCTTTTATCCACTGTGGTTCCAAAATGCCACGTTCTACACTGGCCCTCAGAATAATAATGGTTCTGTTGTGACCCTCCCAGTGTCATCAGGGACTCGCAGAAGCAGGGCTTTATTCACTCTCCTTTGTGTAGCCATCTTCAAATAATAAGAGCTGCGTGTGAGAAGGCATAATAATATCAACTACAACGGGGTTGTGCAATCAACCTAAGGTCAGAAAAATTTAAAAGGTAAAAGAATTTCATGCTGCGGCTTCATTTGTAATATGAAAATAACCATTCAATGGCTACAGGTGGGGATTTCAAAAGGCATCAGTACGCAGGTCGTGGTGGGTTTGGGAGGGTTTTATGGAGGGCAGATGGTCTCTTCCCTGCAGAACAGATGGCCACCAAGTCACCCAAATCCCAACAGCATTCCACCTCAATGTCTTGTCAAATAATAGAGCTAAAGGAGAGCTATTGAACAGAGCCTCTGGAGCCTTTGGGGCTGTTCAGGGATACTCCATCTCCTGTAACAGTGTTGTATGCTGTACCATGCAAGTGGGCATCAGTGTTAATAAACAGCAGAATTCTACAAGCTCGTGGTAAAATATTACTCAGTTTAGTGACTTTCAGTGAAGAAAAAACCCTCTAAACTGTCCAGCCTGCTATCATGAGCCATTTGCAATCTCAGCTGTAATTAATGCTTTTCCTCAAGTGAAGCTGGCTGGTAGGAAAAAGAGAGGATTTGCATGGTGGCCTTGGGTAAGGTGAGGAGATCCTCAATTTTTAGACTCAAAATTGTTTTAAAATAACACAAGGAAGAAAAAGAAACAGTATGTATCAACTCCTGAGTGACTTTCAAGTTGTAGTCAGGAGAACAAAATGGAATTGCACAAAATGTTAACATGCTGCCTTATTTTTGTACCTGAGAGCATACTGGGGGAGGCCATGGAGCCTCCAACACTCGGCATGGGATCAGATGTACAAAGGACTTGTGCAGAGAGGGATCAACCCAGTGCCCTGCTACAGAAGGCAGACTGGGAGGACGGGTGAGCTGGAGCGTGATTCTCAAACATCCTTGCAACCTCTCCTGCCAGTGCAGGGTACTGTCCTCAGTGAGCAGAAGAAATGGTGCACTGGAAACTTGAACTCCCACCACTGCTCTCTTGGGGGCTTCAGATGCAAGCCCTTTAACTGGATTTGCCCTGGGACATAATTTAGTTTGAAGTACCTCATTGTTTGCTTTAAAGTTGCTATTTATTTCACGAGCATTAAACCCCTTTGCTAGTTAGTGCACATATATGGGTCTGTTTCCTGCAAGAAGCATTTCTACCCAGATGCCAGATCTTGCCGCTGGCATGTACCTGGGGCTTGTGCAATTTCTGTGCACTATTTTGGGGACTGCAAAGTGCAATCTCCCACTGATAACAGCTCTTTTCTCTCTCCCTAGAGAAAACAGAAGAAACATCATGAAGCTGATGTGAAAGTCCTATGCCAGAAGAGAAGAGGGAAGCAGAAGGGACATGGTGTTATCTCTGCCAGTAGCTCCATGCAGCCAGCATTTGCTGGGGCCAGAACCTGCCACAACACACCCACCTGGAAGGCCCATGGTGATGTTGAAGTCCATCTGCAAACTGTAAGTGCAGGTGAAGTGAACTAAAAGGTTTATACAAGCATGTGCAGTATTAGATGTTAAACACACTGTGATTATCGGGCCTCAAAGTGTGATATGATCCAGATTCTTCCCTGCCTGATTTAGTGCCAGATTAATGAGAACATGGGGCACTGGGTGAGTATCTTCGGAGCACCACTCAGCCCAGTTCATGTAAGGGCTCTTTATTCTCTGGCAAAAAAAGAGAATCAGACAGAGTTTGGGGTCTGGTGAGGGAAGCAGAATGCATGCTTGGTGGGATGATGAGCAACATTGAAGGAATTTTTGTTGATTTAAACACAGTGTAGGGAGCTGTCCTTCTTGGTCAATGCAAAGGAAAATGCAGGATGCAATGGATTACAAGACGCAACATGTACACGTATTGTTATAGTTTCTCTCAACCTAGAAAAAAATGTTTTTTACTGAAAACCAAGCACATAATTTCAGGACTACATAAAAAAAGTGCTTTAATACAACAGTTAGGGAGTAAGGAGAGGGAGGAGCAGTGTGATCTGAACCCAAGAAAGACAAATTAGGTCTAGAAAGAAAATGCTCTGTCGCATATTAATGTTGCAGTGGCAGGTACCTATAACATGGCTCTGCAGGCTTTGTAAGAGGACTCTTTGTTCCAGCTACGCCTGTGGCTCTTTTCTGAACAGTAAATGTGCATCCCCAAAATACCTGCAGCTGTGACTTAGAAGCATAGAATCATTCTGATTGGAAGAGACCTTTAAGATCATTGAGTCCAACCGTTCCCCCAGCACTGCCAGGGCACCACTAACCCATGTCCCTCAGCACCACATTTCTTTGATGTAGTGAAAACGGCTTTGAAACCCCTCCAGGGATGGGGACTCCACCACTTCTCTGGGCAGCCTGGCCCAGGCCTGGACAACCCTTGTGGGGAGCAATCCAACTCAGAGCTCTCCTGGCACAACTTGAGGTCATTTCCTCTTGTCCTGTCACTTGTTCCTTGGGAGAAGAGCCCGACCCCCAGCTGGTTCCAGCCTCCTGTGAGGGAGTTGTCAAGAGCCAGAAGGTCTCCCCTGAGCCTCCTTTGCTCCAGGCTCAGCACCTGGTCCCTCAGTGCTCTAGACCTTAAGACTTATGCACTTAAGTAAAAGATGGTAACAGTGACACAGGACTTTGATTCAGTTTTACGTTATTTTTGCAGCATAAAATTGCCTTAAAGATGATGATAGCAGCCCTGGGGCTGTCTTCTGCAATGGAGTGCTCTCAGCAAACAGAAGCTTTCTGTCACTGCTTCTGTCCTCTCCTTACTGCAAGTGGAGTAAAAAAAAATCGGAAGCCTATTTCCTAGGTCCATGTGAAATGTATGCTTCTGTTTGTTCCCTCTTGGCTCTCCAGGCACATTGTTCACACTCTTATCCTTATGGTTCTCAAAAACCTACTTAAAGGTTGGACTAGGTATACATCACTGTATTTCACCACAAAGCACTGGTACTTTCTGCTGCACCCCAGCTCATGTGGCTGCTTACTCTGCCGTGAGCTGCACTATCTTGCTGTAAGATTTAATAAAATACCATTTCTTCTTCAGGGGACCCATTGCAGACCTTCTGCTAGTGTTGCATTACTGCTGCATTCTCTACACAAAATTGAGGTTGATTTTTACAAAAGTATTTGCAGAAGCACTGGGAGTTTAAAATTGGATCTTCATGCATTGAGAAGCACCTTCTTTCTTTATTAAATCAGTAGTAATAATGGCCTTAAAATATTCTCAGACATTTCTCTGTGAGGCCACCAAAGCAAGCCTGACATTTCCAAATGCCCTAAAGCTCTTTCAGAGAAAAGACAAATTCAATAAAATGAAATTTGTAATGTTTCCTAAAGCTGTAGTCAGGTAAATTCTGAAATGTGACGGGCCAGGCTCAGTACTGTGCTTCAAATTCTTTACACGATTGCATAAATACAGAATTGCTGCATGTGTGGTTTTTCACGTCGCCACACTCGCCATGACAGCTTTTGACTTATGAAGAGAGGGATTTTTCCAAAGTTCAGGACTTTGGTTTTTTTAGAAGGAAGATTTGAGCCTTGGCTTGTGGCTTTATGGGAAAGTAGCTTCAACTGTAGCTCTGGAAAAGGGAACACTTCACAACATCTGTGAGCTAACCTACTTGCTCTCTTGGATAATTAAAGACAGGGTAATCGGAACAGGCTGACCACAGGCTCTCCACTCACCACACCACTTCACTTTCCAGTTGCGATTAGCATCGACACCGTGACACCAGAACCTTGTGTTCTTTGATCTCGTTTTTCTCCAAAATCGATCCTAACATAAATTAGAAAACAGTCAAACAGCAACATTACTATATTTTGGCAAAAATCTCTTTGTACACAAAACAAACCACCCTGGTAAATATATTCAGTCATGTATTTTAACTGGAGTAATTTACTTCCATCTTGCATGTGACCAAGTGATGAACCAGATTATACCAAAAGTCACCTTTGAATGATGTAACAACCATTCGATCTTTCCTGTCTGAACAATTTTTTGAGTAATACTCCTGAAGCTACTTACATTTGTCCAGCTGAAATTATATCCATCCACATTAAACACAGGCATGATATAGAAATACATCTGAGTTAGCATCTTTCTCATAGCAGGATCGGTCTGGTATGTCTGAAGAGCCTGAAGCAAAAAAGCCAAAGAAAGTAGTTTCCACAATAAAAAAACATTTCCCCATTAAGTATTGTGACAGGCTGAGAGGGTGATGTGGCCTTTGGCAGTACTGATCTCACAGCACCACTGACATCCTTAGAGGTGTATTCAACAGGCTGACATCTTCCTGCAAATGTGATAAAAGGCAGCATGTGAATGGGTGAAAAAGGTGTTCAGAAGACCCTCTTCTGTCTTGTTCCTTCTCGGTTACTTGCAGTAGCCGAGAAAACACAAGTCGCATGACAGAGAAGCAAATGCATACAAGTGTTTCTTGAATGTAGGAGCTGAAAGTAGAATAGATTCTTAGCTGAGCAAACAAGTTTATCATAGAATCATAAAATCATCCTGGTTAGAAGACACCTTTAAGGTCATCCAGTCCAACCAAATTTAGCTCCTGTAAGACAATGGAGTGCTCTTGTTTGCCCAAGTGATGACTGGGTGAGGTCAGGGCATGACTTAAAGTGTTTTAAGGGTCACATTACATCGGCTTTTGTTGTATTCAGAGTAATTCACTATGTGCACAATCGTCAGTACAGGCAGCTCATTCCTTTAGAATTTAGAAAAGCCTCTATTTTTGAAGAACCTCAAATACAAAGGTTGGTGGAGGAAGTCTGTGTAGGGAAAGTACAGTAAGTATGGATGTGAAATGCGTGGGACTGTTCTTAAAGTGGAAGCAGAACGAAGTCGTGCTCCAGAATGCAAGTTACTGAAAATGAACGTTTTTATTGTGCTTATTTCAGGGAGAAGCAATTTAACTGGGGAGGAAATAAGGCAACATACCCCACTGCCTTGACTTTTGAATGCTTCTCTCTTCTGAGACAGCACTAACAGATTAAGCTCATGTTGTGTCTCCGCGGTGGGTGTTTACATACCCATGCTAATGAGGTTGGTATATTTGCTTGTATCTGTATTTACTGTTGCTGTCAGTTACAGCTCTAATCATGCATTTTGTTACACTGTAGCATTAGGTATTTTCAACTGCAATGTTATAACAGTAAACTTTTTAAAATACTCCTACAATCATCTCCTTAAAATAACTACAGATAAGTAATTAATTTTAGGTAATACACTTCTTACAAATAGCATGATTGAGCTTTGCAAATTTTTCAGAACCTTTCCAATTTGCAAAAAGTGGCATAATGAAACTATTTGAACTAAGGTTTTTGAATGTTCAGTGTGTTCTGAATCCTGTGAAAAGAAATATTTTTCTTGCTAGGTAAAAGCTTAAAAACTAAAACAAAACAGAGACTGAAAAATGTCAAGCACTTTTTCATATTTTAAAGGTACTCTGTATTATTTTGATGCCTGCTGCCATTGACAAAATACTAGGAGAGACCTCAGAAATGCTCTTCAAAATTTTAAGTCTTAATGTTCATTTAGAGCCAAGTATGTCAATTATTCAATTCTGATCTTTAAAGCTTATATGATTTCCATTAAATAATTTGGTTCCTTTTTAAAGTAGCATTTCATTAAATCTGGCATGGACCTGGTGCAGCTTTCTTCTTCATGGAAAGCAAGAGTGTCCATGGTGTAACCTGGTGTAACTGAGATCACAGTCACTCTCTGCTGGAAGTATTCTGTGCTTCATACTGTTTTTATCTGGCAATTTTATTGGATCTATGTAATCAGGCACCCCAGCCAGTATAATCTTCTCCCCCTTAACAGGGCGGTCGTTGGCAACGTGCCTTTCAGTTACCCAGGGGTGTCCTGGCTGGAGCAAAGCCCACAGCTTGCTTCTGGTGACGTGACTCTCACCTCCTCCAAACCACATTCGCACAGAGGACCAGCCGCCCCGGCGGTGGTGAAACACCTTCTCTTCCCCGTGGCGGAGGCGAGGCGAGCGTGAAGCCCTG